CACATCTAGTTGGACTAGATGACCACAGAGCTCCATTCCAACCCTAATGGTCGGCACCGTTGAGCACTGCAGTAACCTGCAAAACTCAGAGCAGCTCTGCTTTGTTTCTGTGTCTGTTGAGCAGAATTTAGAGAGGAAAATTATGGATGCTATAAATAATATTGTCTTACTGCCAACTCTCACCCTGCCCCTGTTTGTGCTTCCCTTTCCCAAAAGCAAACGCTTATGGCATCTCTAAGCCTGCAGAAAACCACTGCTCTTCTCCCTTATTCTATGAATGCAGGGAGGTGAATTCAGTCCTTGGGAAAGAGCACTCAGAGCAGCTCTGTGCACGCAGCGCTCGGCAGCACACCACACAGCGCCGGGGAAACCGTCCAAAATCCTCCACAAACTTTCAATTTGAAGGACTTGCGTGAGCAAATCCCCAGCAAAGGCAACTGAACATGTCATTAGGAGAGCCACCCGAGCAGAAAGGCCCCATATGACCTCCCCGGTGCCCAGCGCCTTTAATAAGATGGAGCCGCAACACTTTGCAAAGATATTGGTGATGGGATCAAAGAGCACCGCTGCGGAAGGACCGAGCCGCACACCGACTGCTCTCCGTTCTCCTGCAGTTTGCACAGCTCTTTCTGGTACCCATTCATCCCTCCTGCCCCAACCCCAAACTCACAGCGCTGGGCCTCCGGTTCCACCAGGCTGACTTTTTAAGGAGGTACCAAAGCAAAGGGAGACAGCAGCTCTCACCGTGGGAGAGCGTCCCCCTCCGGGTCCTCCGTGGGGTCCTGTCCCTGGGGTCACCCTCAGCCCCTGCCCACCCCTTCACGCCCCAGAGGACACCGGCTCGGCCCCACTTACAGCTCAGCCCGTCCCCGTGCTGCAGGCTGGGAGCAGGGACAGGTGACTTCGGACGCCGCTCCTGAGCATTTACAGGGCTGTTTGCAGACAACATCAAACTCCGGAACAGAAGCCAACCCAGGAGTCATTCCCCCTCCTCGCTGTCCCTCCCCACCCTCTTGCTTGGTCTCATTTGTACCGATTTGCCCCGCAGGCTTCTCTCTGATTTGCTATGGCCCTGGCAGAGCAGTGTTGGGGAGGAGGTGCGCGGGGCTTGGGGGGCGGACAGGCCAGTGGAAGCCTGGATTGCCAAAAGCAGCTCAGTCCCAGAAACTGCCTTTATGCGCAGACGGAGCAGGCTGGGAGCGAAACCAGCTGGGCCGGAGGAGGATGTGCTCAGTGAGCTCATGGCTGTTCAGGGCTGGCTGCGTGAGCGGCTCTGGGCTGCCTCCTTGCACCACTGCTCAGCCCCATGGGGTGGCACAGGAGGGAGGAGAGGGCTGGAGGAAGAATCCCCCCTCCCTGCATCACCTTTTCCTGTCGGCAGGCAATGCGCTGAGTGCCAGTGCAGCTCTCTGCATCATTTACCATTTACCCACTCCGTCCCCACCCTGGGATCCCCATGCGTAGTCGAATTCCCCCAAACCAAACCTTCCTCAGAATGCCTGATACTCTAGACCGGTTCCTCTCTTTGGGGCCAAATGAGGGGATCACATCTCTGCACTGCTGCCCCACATGCTCCCCATCACCCGCTCGCATCCCTGCTTCAGCATCTCACAGCCTGGCAGGTTCCCGGCGCAAGTGCCGAAGCTGTGGATCCAGAACTGCACACAACAGAGCAGGGACTTGCAGCCATCTCCAGTGCCCCCCTCATCTCCCCACTCCCCGCCTTCACTCCTGTCCCCTTCCCAGGCGTGTTGCACACAGCCGGCCCCAATCTGCCACGGCACAGGGCCACCTGTGCTGGCTGCCCACGCCATCTGCGCATAGAAGGTCGGGGACAGACGGCTGCCACCCCCAACTCCGGGCCAGCAAGAGAGGGACGGCCAGGGGGGCTCAGCACACGGCTGCCTCACTGTACCCCACGGTGCTGGCACCCGGTGGCAGTATGGCAACAGCCCCTTCCTTGTCTGCTTCATGGGTCTGCAATGGTGGGAGCGATTGTGGGTGTGATGCGGGGAGGGTGAGGGGGGGGGCTTGAGCCCCTTGGGGTGCCCAGAGGGGCAGCGACGGCCACGGTGTGCCCTCCTACCTGTCCCAGCTCAGCCCTGCGGTGTGCTGAGAGCTCACGGCCACGCCGGGCAGCGGTGAGTTAACTCCTGACCTCGGTGAGCCCCACAGGCACTGCAGTGGTGGCTGCCCGCTGCCGGCCGGGCACGCTGATGAGATGATAACAGAGCCTGCCCGGCGCCTTGCTACAGGTAGCCGGAAAGTTTTCTTCATTGCTGGCTGCTGGAAAGGTCAAGGCGTCCTCCTCCTCCTCCTCCTGCATTTCTATTCCTGGCCTCTGCCCTTTCGCTGCTATACACCGGACCGAGCTGTGCCATCTTGTGCCATCTCAGTGTGGCCACGGCCCTGAAGCGCATTGGGAGGGCTGGGGTATGGCAGTGCAATGGTTGCGAGCACAGAGCTGGGAGCATTGGGGGCCAAGGGGTGCTGCTGGCGTGCCCAGGGTGGGATCCAGTGCTGAGTGATGGGGACAAAGAGGGGAGTACAGGTCTGGCAGCCAGGATCGGGGAGGGGGAAGTGCTGGCAGCATGCAAACCATCACAGGTGTTACCCAAAGCCAGGCTGTGAAGAGGGAAAGCCCCAATACGACAGGATGATGTTCTCACAGAAAATCTCTGCTCACATACGCACTGCGGATTTTTAATGGAGACCTTCATGGGGGAACCAAGCCTCAGCCCCAGCCTGGCCCTACCACACTACAAGGTCTGGGCTGTACAGAATCCATCCTAAAGCGCTGGGCCAACCTGGAGAGGGGCCCTGGGGAGCTTCCTCACACCACTTTGTTCACGGAGCAAAGATATTCCCAGCCCTGAATTTATAGATTGGCCCTTAAACTAAAACAACCTCCGGGGACCAGAAAAACAAAAGTAGGTTTTGGTTCTGTTTTGTGTTGTATTTTTCTTTCCTGCGTAGACAGTCTTTGCCCAGGAGGGGTTAGCATGAAAAATGCATGTGGGGATTGGGGGAGAGGGAGGGTGCGAGGAAGCAGCTATCGATCAAGCAGCTCTGAAAGCCACACAGCTGTGCACCTCCGCTGCACTCCCCAGCACTGCCCTGCTGCTGCTCCGTGCTGGGAAGAGCTCCATGTCCAGGTGGTGCTATGGGCAGAGAGGAGCTGGAGGCCCCCCAGCCCCTGTCCTATCCATGCAGGTGAGCTGCTGGGTGGCTTCTCTCCTCTCCTTCCATGCTTTTCTCCTTCCCTGCATCCCAGAGCCTCGGTCACCGCATTAAGAGATGGGGAGCAGCAAGGGGCTGGAAAGGGGGAAAACCCACTGGCAGCTCTGCTTCTCCCTCTGTGAGTTTGCATTTCAACCCCTCTGAGGGCAAGCAGAGCTTCTGTCAAAACCTTCATTCTCCTCCAGCAAGAGGAGAACGAACATGCTATGGAAATTGCTCAGGCAAATTGTCAGAGGGTTTAACAGGGTTTGGGACCTCTCCACAGTGACACTGTGCACCACCCGCTTGCCACCATCCCCAGCTGTCTCTGCAGAGGGCAAGTGCTGATTCTGGCAGGGCACTGAGCCGGGCCAGCACTGCAGGGAGGGGAGAGCACTGGATCAGGGGGCATTTGCCACCAGGAAGGGTTTTAGAAGGTAAAGCGCCAGCAGCAATTGCCTTCCTGCTGCTGTGGGCAGGGGAGAGGGGACTCCCTGAGCACTTCCAGTACTGCCACCATCCCAATGTCACCGAGCTAACAAAGGGAACTGGATCTCCACCTTCGGCCAGGAAAAGCTCCTGGCAGCAGGAAAATGCCAGCACAGCTTGGCCCAAACCAGCGGCACAGCAGGGTGCCCTGCACGAACCAACGAGCCCCAGTGCCCCTCTGCACCTACATCGTATGGGCTCCAACAAATGCCTTCTTGGAAGTGCAATTTTAATTGTGATCTGCGCTGATTCCCCAGCAAAAAGCCAGAAATGAGATCCAGAAATGAGGCACAGCAGGGTGCGGGCAGGGGAAGTGCATAGATGGGGAAACTGAGGCTGGAGCACGGGAGCAGCCTCTCAGGCTCAGCCTGCCTCCACCTTGTGCACTCACAGCAATTTGATCACCTACACAGAAATCCACAAATTCATCATTTTAACCCTTTTGCCCTTCTTTGACCCATTCACCCTGACAGCGTGGTTCTGGGACCGCAGCAGCATGCTCAGGTTCCTGCAAGTTCCCCGAGGTTTCCCAGCCCCGAGCGCAGCTGTGCTCCTTACTCCAACCCCCCAGCTCGACCCCCACTGTCAGACACAGCCGGGACCCAGCAAGCAACAGCAAAAAAGCACGATGCAAAGCGCCCAGGCTGCGGGATGCTGTCACTGCTGCTGGGAATATCACCATTCAGCGGGACACAAACTGTCCCAGGCACAAAGTTTGTTCCCCAGCGCAGGGACAGACGCACGGCACAGCGAGAGCCCCAGCAGTTCTATATTGGCTGCTCTGTACTGACCCCCAGCAGACAGACATGCAGCCCCCCCCCCCCCCCCCCCCCCTCCGTGCTTTGTTCGCATTTTAACCGCGTTATCTCCAGCTCACATCCCCCATTCAGTCCCAGCCGGGAACAGTTTCCTTCACAAGGGAGATTCCAGCACATGAAGGTGAAGGCATCCAAGTGGATGCTGAGGGATTGGAAATAATAATAATAATAATAATAATAATAAAGAAGGAAACTTTAGAAAAAAAAAAAAAAAGTGCTTTTTAAAGTTGTTTGCTCTTGTTCTGCTCCTTTGGAAACGGCAGAGAGCAGGTGCAGCTATCCGGCTGCGACGTCCCGGCGTAGCCAGGAGCAGGGATGCTCACATGCAGGGAGCGGGACGGGCAGCAAAAAGGATAAACCCCCCCAAAGAACCGTGCCTAAATCTGCCTGCCTTACAGCTGCACTGCCGGGTGAACGGCCCCTCTCACCTTCCCCTTCCCAGCAGGGATCCCGGTGGGTGCTGCAGGGACTCACCTGCACCAGGGCTGCTCTCCCAGCACGGCTGCGCTCCGCCTGATGTTCGCGCTGTGAAAGTGGGAAGCGTTTCAGATCGTGCAGTAGGTTATATATTGTCTGCAAGTCTGGCCCTAGGGCGTCCATCAGTTGGTCTTGCTTTGCTCCTGCCCCTATATGGAAGGCAGCATCACATGCTCCGCGGCTCCCAGCTATCTGCCTGGCGAAAGGGGAGACGGAGATGGAGAGGAGAAAAAGGGGAGAAGAAAATTAAAAGGATCTTCATCATGAAAGAGACAGAAAGAGAATTTCCCAGTGTAAAACCAACCTGCCAGAAATCCCCGCCCGAGCCCAACTTTCCCCGCTCGCCGCCTGTGATCGCGGCTCCCAGCAGCCCCTTTCATGTGCTCTGCAAGGCCTCCAGACATGCACGGCTCGCCTTGATCCCGCTGCCTCGCTGCCGCAGCAGGTGAGGGGAGCCGCGGCCCCGCTCGCAGGTGCTGACTGCAAAATGCTCCTTGCCTCCGTGCTGCTGCCTGAGGTTCTCCAGCCACCCGGCTCCAGGTCACGGGTTTTAGGGCCACGTTCTGCTCCACGTCTGCTCCAGGACAGAGGCAGCCCCGCGTGCCCAGGTCCCAGCGCCCTGGGGAGCAGGCAGGGCTTGCACCTGTTGTGCTGCCGACGACCCTGAGGACATTCTCTCCTGAAGGGACGTTCCCTCCACCACCAACCTCCCCAGCAGTCAGGATCATCTCCACGTGGTGCTGAGCATGGTTTCTCGGAGGCAGAAAACCCCATTTTGTGCTCTTCTCCACCCAGTTCTAACTGTCAGCTTCTCTGCCCTCTGCCACTACTTTTTCCAAATATTTCTATATTCCTTTTGCTAAAGGTCAGAAATAAAGCATTTTGCATTATAGACACGGTCTGTTTTGCCCTTTCTCACTGCTCCCCCTCCCCCCAAAATACCCCACCTTGCACTGCTGGGCTGTCATTCCTCTGCACGGAGGGACCACAGTCTGAGGTCTGAAGGTTTGTCCACAGGGCCTGAAGTCCTGCTCCCAAACCTGCATCTTCTGACAAAATATAACATTGTGCTCAAAGCTGAGCATGGGAGGGGAGACTTCCATCTCCAGCTGGCATAAACATGGGAGAATTTGGCTTTGCAGGGGAATCTGGTAAGTCCACCTAATGCTATGGCACCTGAAGAAGAGCCCCGCGAGGGCTGGTGAAGATCTCTTTATAACCACCTGGAGAGCTAAAGGGCTGAGATCAGGCTGCCATGCATCTGGGTGGCATCTGATGCAGGCACGGGGCAGGGCTCTGGCTGCTGCCACTCCATCAGCAGTCTGAAATGTGCAGCCCTGATGCTGGAGTTCCTTGCTGCATCCTTACTTTTCCTAAGATTTTGCCACAGATGGAGATGTCCTGCCTGCTTTTCTCATGGGGTAAATGCTCCCTCTTGCTCTGGGAGGACCTGGCTCAGTCCTACCTGCCTGCAGCCTGCGCTGATGCTGGCTGGACACAGGCTCCTGACAAACCAGAATTATCTTTTCCCCTCTAACAGAGCTGAATTCAGCTTTAAAGCTCAGAGCCAACATACGTGCACTGAAACCCTCCATTCCCCTGATTCTGCTGCTCGTAAAGTGAGTTAAGACATTTTGGACACCTGCACAGCCTTCACAGCTAGCTGAATGGAAGCCACATTTCTTGTTGCTGAGGAGCCCAGGAAAACTGAATCCTGGTGCAAACTCACACGCTTTCTGCCTGTCTTGCTGAGCAGGCCCTGCACAGTTCTGTCCTTGCAGATTTATACATCTTCCACTGGCCACTGATTGCTCATAACGACCTTGAAATAGGATGGCTGAGCAGACCTCACCAGGCACTGCTGGGATGAGAACTTCACCCAGAGTTAGCAAACACAGAGGGATCATGTTTGGTCCAGAAATTCCCCAAGCTGAGTCTGTTTGGGTGCTTGGGAAGTACCCAGATGAACACACACACATTTACTCTGCCCTTCTCCTCTCCCTTGGGTTTCTGTTACTGAATACCATCCAGGAAACATATAGTGTGACCTTGTGCAGGCACTGGGCTCCTGTGTTGCGTGGCATAGGGCTCAGCTGCTGAGCAAGAAGGGGAAGTCTCAGGCCAGTTCCCAAAGAGCATAGATGATGTTCTCAGCTCCAACTTTCTGTTGGGAAGGCTGATTCCCTTGGCTACAACCCCCCTCAAGTCAGATGACAACAGATGTATGTATCTGGTTATTTTTGAAGAAAAGCTTTTCTCTTTTGTGAGCCAAAGGCATGGCCAGATCCCACTCCTGCTGAGTCAAGCATCTGGAAGTCAAGCGTCCTTGTGCCCAGAGCTGAAGACTACTTCCACTGCTTCCCTTCATCTAGCTGAAAGTCCCACCAGAAGGGTATTGTCCACGTTGGAAACTTAGATGTTTGTATTTCAATACTCAGAGTCATAGAATCATTCAGACACAGCTCATTAAGGTTGTAAGAAACCACTACCATCATCCAGTCCAACGGCTGACCCACCCCCATCCTACCCACTGATCCACAGCCCTCAGTGCCACATCTCCACAGCTCATGAACACCTCTGGGGATGGGGACTCCACCACCTCCCAGGGCAGCCTGTGCCTCAAGCCTGCAGTTGGCTTCAGGGTGGTGCGAGGAACCTTCATAGCAAGTGCCAGACCCATTATGGCAGCCATCCCATAGGGGAAGATGGGAGGAAACCCTCAGCCAAGGGAAGGGATTTCCATATTGCTGTGACCTCATCCTGTGTGGAACAGAGATGTTGGAGACAAGCATCAGAGATGGAAACCATCATCAGTGATGGAGAGCACTACAGGTGATGGAGAAGGCAGAGGCCCAGAGGGGCTGGTGCTGCAAAGTCTGTCAGTTTATGCTGCAAGAGAGGAACTCCAGAGACTGGAGGCAGCTGCTCTAGCAGAATGAAAACAGAGCTCACGTCCCTCCCTCCTGCAATTAGAAAGATGGAAAAGGGGAATAGAACAGCTTCACTGATGACCTTTCCCTCTTGCAAATCTCAGCCTGCCTCGCTTCGTACACCAGCATCAAGAGCAAACAGCCGGGCTGGGACCTGGCAGGCCAGTGGTGGCACAGAACTACCCAAGGAGGTTGGCCGTGTGTGTGTGTGTGTGTGTGTGTGTGTGTGTGCACACCAGAGTGCTTGCTTTCTTCCAGCCTGCAGGCTGCTTCGGGGAGGAGGGGGAGCAGGAAGGGTTAGCTTGCCAGCTTCTCCCGAGGTCCATTGAGAGGTGTCTGTAGGGCTCATCTCGAAGAATGTCAGAGTGCATGTGCTCCGCGAGACGGCCTTTCAGAAGGCATCAGTCCTGCTGTCACACAGCGGACCGCAAATCAGGAGTGACAGCTGTCTCCGTGTGCACCATCCATCTGTGGCAAATGTGTCAGCTAGCTGAACACTCCCGAGGAAACTGCTACGGAGCTGGGGAGAGGAGGAGGAGAGGGAAAGGGGGAAGTGAGAGGGGGGAAAAAGCAGCAGCACCAGGGGTGAAGGATGGCAAGGTGCAGCCCAGCAAGGCCGAGGGTCCCAAGAGGTCCTGGAAGACGGAGGTAAATGTTGTTGTGCAAGGGGCACCATCACCGCTGCATGGAGATGCTTCATAAATATCAGCCCTTTGCTCTTCTGATCCATGAACCTCAATGCTCTCCACAGACATTCATGATGCCATAAAACCATCCCAGTGGGTGGCATTAGCTATAATTGTCCTGCAGTAGAGGGAACAGGACAAACGGACTGGGCCAAGACCAACGGCTGAAGGTGCAGCAGGCTTGGGAAGAGGATGCAGCAGTGCCCACACAGCCAGCCAAGGAATGGGTGAGGCATGGAGGTCATGGTGAGACAGCACAGCTGTTCCCTCTTCTCCTTCTGTACGTATCATCTCCCTCTTTCCTCATCTTTCATACTGCTGCCCATTCTGTCACAATGAATTCTTCATCCTGAGCGAACGTGGGAAATCAGGGACGTGATTTCTACAACAAACAGGCTGTTCCAACAAACAACAGGCTGTTGTTTTATAGTTCCTGTGGGACAGAAACTGGATGGCTAACAGAAGGAAGTCATGGCTTTCCTTTACTCTCTCCACTCATCCAGTTCTTTGAGAAAGTAATTTCTTGGGATGTAAGAAATTTGGTGCCTATGAACCACTCACACTCCAGGGAAGATCAACCCAGCTTGCTCACAGGCATTTCCGATGCTTTCCCAGTAACACCCATTGAGATCCCAACCTTGGGATTGTTGCACCAGCTTTGGGGAGCTACCAACTAAATCACATCTAGTACCAGAAAGCTCCCAGGGATGTTATGCATGTGAAACTGAGGAACCCAGGGCACCAATCAAGGCTTTCCCACCAGCAGAAACACGTCTCATCACCATCCTAGCCTTGAAAACCAGCACCACGAGCCGTTCTGCTGTTAAAAGGCCAGTCTTCATTATTGGACCATGCAGTAATCAGGCAGGACAACACGATGGGAAAGGTTACAACAGAGGTGTGATGACAGAAGGACTGGCACGATAGAAAGGTGCCATAAAGGAAGGGAAGAACGTCGCTCACCCATATCTGAAATTTCCAGGTTTGCACAGAAAAACTCCACAAAGGAGGGACCTCCAACCAGAGATCCTTCCCTCCCAGCAGTCAGCCCTTAAATGAAGTCTGAGAGGTGCAGCCAGGCTCCACTCCTTCCCCCCACACAGATGAATTGCCTTCACCTGTGCTCCCAGGGCTGACCAGGTCCTTTCCCCAGGTGCTCCATCAATGGTTCAGGCTGTGACCCAACAGTTCCCATTTACACCAGAACTAGGTATAGCACCTCTAGGGCTGTTTAGAAGAGGGTAGAAGACTTTTTAGCCCCATCTGATGGGGTGGGAGGATAGAATTAGAAAAAGGGTGCATAGCAATCAAGCTATGCATCTTTCACAGGAGAAAACTCTCCATGCTGGCCTCAGCTGTGGGCTGCAGGCTTCACTAAGCAGAGCTCCCTGGGCTGCTGCTGGTCACGGATGGGTACATGGGAGCGATTTTGTTTCCAATCTTGAGATTTCTGGCATGACGTTCCCACTGTGGAGAGAAAACTTCAGCACACACCAGGCCATGAAATGTGTAAAAACACCCGCTTCCCCTCCCAGCTCCCAGAATTGGGACAGACTCCTCTGACAAAGCAGG